AAAAAATATTCTTGGTATTTTTGTGTTTTGATTTTAATATTTAAGACCTAAGTCTAAATTAATTTTACTTTTAAGAAAAATGTCAAAGTAATTAAATAATTAATTAACAAAATTTAATCTAAAAAAAGAAACTAAGCCTAATGTTTTTTTTATGATTTTTGATTTTAATGTTTGTAATGAAATAGAAATAAAGAGAACAATAAAAAAACAAATAAATAAAAGAAAGGAAAAGGGGCAAGCAACAAAAGTAAACAAGGGTGGTATGATCTTGAAAACAACATAGGCCCAAGTCAAAGGGAGCCTAGAGGTTATGCCGGATTCAGTAAGGGAACTCCTTGAGAGTGCATGGTGAGCTGCACATTTGAGTGTATTGGATCTGAATGCGTTGGGATCTCATGGTGAGGATCGAAGGATATACGGCGCACGCCTTGGACACGCCAACATTGAATCTACAAATGAAACGTTAGAAAAATAAAACGCATGACCTGGGTGTCAAACCCAGGTCCTTCCCTTTAATTTGATTTCCCTCCTAATTCGAATCTGAGTACTATTGGCAAAAGAGTCTTGTATCAACCAGTTCGAAGCTTGGTTGATTCGAAGGTCTAAACAGTATTCTGTTGGGGAAAATCGGAGAAAATGTTTTCCTGCAAAATAAACAAACGTTAGAGATCTAGGGAGACCTACCCCTCATAATTCAAACCTCTACCTAATTCAAACCCTCTGAGTTCGAATCTGGGTTTGTTTGGCCTGAAACACCCTAAGTCATGAGATTCGAAGTAAAACTTAGATCGTTCCCTAACAATGGCACGATCTCATCCCTGCACTTTAGCTTGCATGCAACACATTCATTCAAACACAAGTATCATTAGTAACAAGAATATATGCGTAATTTGTATTTAAATGGTATGCATGTGCAGTTTTGGTTTTGCAAACCCTTACTAATTTAAGACACGTGAATCTCTATGGCTTTGGGCGTGGAGATGCTTGCTTAAGAGCTGGTATGGACTCCTGGATGTAAGGTTTTCGTCTGGCTAATGCGTGTATGGGCAAGAATGATTTCGTTTGGCAATGTGTCAGCAACTTCGATTGGTATTCTGTGTGATGCAGTTTGTCTCTTCCTGCTGACGACGTGTTTGCGTCTCTGCAAGAATATTTCTGTGGCAAAATGTTTTTTCCGTTTGTTTGCTTGCACTCTAGATTTGTACTTATATGGGTGTGAGGGGACAAGAAAATGGGGGAAAGAAACATGGCATTAAGTACCAATCATTAAACATGGCTTTGAAAACAAAATCAAACAAATTAAAGGATTTCCATTTTTGGATTATTCATGCCGTTTTGAAATTTTGAGTGAACCTGGACATGTTTCACCCTCTGACTCCTTCGAATGCCTCCATGTCTTGTTCTTCGATTGACTCTGAAAATACCCAACTAGCCCAATCAAACACTTCATTATGGCCAGTCGAAGCTTCTTTTGTTATTTCCTTCGAATGTAATAATGCATGAGGCTTGGGCTTGGCAGCATGCAGGACTTTGGCCAGACTCATCAAGAGACCAAACAAAACTTGTTTTCAATAATCGTGTATCCTTCTATTGGACCACATGTGTGTTCTTCGAATGGACCATATGTGTGTTCTTTGAATGGACCACATGTATGTCCTTCCAATCCACCAAATTCACGTTCTTCTAGTGGACCCTTTGAATGCTTCTTCGAATAGACCTTTTGAATGCTTCTTCGAATGGACCATATTATGTGTCAAAGTGTAGAAAACTGTGTATGTTGAAGGGTTTTAGAGGTGGAGTCAGAGCAGGACTGAAGATAGACATTGCCCAATCGAAGCTTGCATGCATAAGACCATTGCTTTATGAATCAAAGTAGGCATGCAAGAAGTTCTTGCCTTGTGAATCGAAGGCAGGCATGAAGAGGAAGCCTTTTCCTTGTGCATTGAAAGCAAGCACAAAGGAGGCACTTGTCTTTATGGATCAAAGCAAACATGTAAGAGACCAATGCTCAATCGAAGCTTGCATGCAGGAGGCCACTGCTTTGTGAATCAATTGGAGAGTAATTTTAAACTTGGAGTAAGCAGTATTATTCTCATTGACAATGTCTAATTAAAAACTATTGTGGGGTATTTCTTTCAACTGAGTTTTCTAGTTGATTTTTAATTTTCTTTGACTACCATGTTGTTTCCTCTTTTTTTCATTTTTTTTAAGTTTGTTAATTTTTCAGCTCTCTTTTTTCTTTTCAGGTGTGTACTCATATTCATTTGATTTCCTTAATTTCTAATTGATACCCCAAGTTTATTGGTTGTTATTCAATAGCAACCCCAAACTTAAATTAAACACATCTTTGAGACGTAATTTGTAACACCCCATTTTCCCATATGAATATTTATAATGAAATATACGACAAATGCATCAGAGTTCACAATGGGATGCCACATAAATCATAAAATCCATAAAGTTCTCAAAATACTTTATTACTTCGTGTATCCAAAAATGGTTATTTGACAACGGAAAATCAACATAAAAGTAGTTCATTGGCATTCTAGCCTTAACAACAATTCAAATCCACAATACGTGATCCATCATAAGTTTAAAAGAAAATGTGCAACATTTGAAATCATGCAAAACATAATGAAAATCCCAAATCCCGTGTTACATATCAGAGCGATTCCTAAGACTCAATCTGGTAACATCACTTTAAGCACTACTCGAATACATGATTATCTGTACTCCCGAAGAGTATAGACACAACAATACAAAAGGAGTGGGAATTTCATTCAATAATTACACGATGAAATAAAACATGCTAAGGAGTAGTAAATCACAACATACAGAAAATTCATCACAAACAACCATCATCACATCATACAACATCAATTCAGTGTTTATGCAATGCAATAGTCCTACATCAACATGCATGTGGTACCATCAAGGCATAAACCTTCAACTCAATGCCAATTGGGCAATAACAAAGCATAAGCCCTAAACACAACGCCAATCCAGGCCAACATCAAGACATAAGCCCTCATCCATGAATGCATGAAATATGAACATGCAACAACGTGAAATCATACAACCACAAGGAATAAGCCTTCATCACCATGGAAATTTAAGCCATTTGTATCATCCTCATCATAATCACTAACATTGCCTCATACCGGCATCATCAACAAAAGAACATCGCAAGAAAACAACCCACCATTTTGGTGTAACAATGGGGAATAATTCCTATGTTAACATGGTTACTAGAATTATCCTTCTAAATCTTTATTTTATTCTACCTACTTCAATTTTATGGTGTTAGCTATCCAATGCTTCAAATGACTCATCGAACGGAGTTACGGTTCAAAAGTTATGACCGTTACAAAAATGGTCAAAATTGGGCTTCCCACTGGTTAGGTTGCGTCGACCCTTGAGTCGACCTCTCCTGGCTTTTACTTTGACCGCCCCTGCTATTTCTGTTTGCCGCTCACTGTTGTTGCTGTTTGCGCCGACCGCTTCCTTGTTTGCGTCGATGCAAACTGTTAAATTCTGAGTTTTTCTGCGATTTCACTAAATTTTGGATCCTAAAACATCATATAATCATAGGAATTCATCATCTATTATCATCCCATGTTTCTACATCAATTAATCATCATTTGGGCATTATTATTCATCTTATATTTCATCAAATCCTCATCAAAAATCCTCAAATCCTAATTCTCATTACTTATAGGTTCTAGATTGGAGTTTTATGCAACAATCATCATAACAACACAATCACAACAACAATCACAACATAGCATCACATATCCATGTATAATCATATACAACACATCAATTCAATCAAACCAAACAAATTATGCATCAATCATATAAAACAACCTAAGAGGGAAATGAACCCTCATTATCCTCTCATGCAAGATCACCAATTAGAGAATCCATTCACCCCTTATCTTATGATTATTGTTAGCTTTCGATTCCTCTTCTCGTTCTACAAATTCCTCTTTGTCTCCATGTCTCCTTGTGCCCTAGCTTCTCCTTTACTCTTCTCCCAATATCTCGATCGTACCAAATGATCGTACAATTCTCTTTCCCCTTAGTTATCACAAGGACCCCTAATATCTTCCTCAATTTCCCTCACTTAACATTATATCATTTACCATCACGCCCTCACTCTTTCTACTAATTACCATCTTGTCTTTATTTTCTCCACACTTCTATTATTCTATTATTCTAATTACTTAAATCTAAATAATTCCAATTAATCACTATTAAATCTAAATAATTCCAAAATAATTATTTAAATTCCAAACTTTCTTACTAACTCATCCTACACCATACAACTCATCGTCTTAAACACCTTATTCATCAAATCATCGCTATTTGCATCACAGTTGCATCACGAATACACATCATATACCGTCACAAGGACTCACACAAGGCATCAAAATATCATAAATAAGCATCAAAACATCAAAACACCATCTACTTCACATAGACTCATATAATCACACTAAATTAATCTAAATTAATCTAAAATTCGGGGTGTTACGTAATTCTTCTACTCCAAATAAGATAGGAAAATGTTTGGGACAAGGGTTACACTTAGGTTAAAAACAAACAAGAGAGAAACATGCTCAATGGAGTTATGCAAGGGATAAAATTAAAAATGTTAGCATTAAAAGCTCAAGGTTAAAAAGAAACACGAGGAAGTGTGTAAGATAAATAATATTTTATATTAATTTAATAATGAAAAAATATTAGACTTTTTAAAAACAATAAAACCGCCAAAAAAACATTTGTTACATAGCATATTAGCATATGCTTACCCCAACAAAAAAAAGAAAGAATGAGGTATGATAAATTTAGTTTAAATTTATAATAGACAAAGTCATCGTCTTTGACCATCTCCTTCTTTCCCTTGGCATTTCAAAGTCATCCCTTAAATCTTCTTTCTTCCACTGCCATCTTAATTCTCTTTACTTGATGAGATTAGTTGAAATTGACACCACATGATGAAAAATTGCTGGGCAAATCTATGGCTTATGAACAAGAAACAAAAACCAAAGCAAAAACCGAGACTGGTGGTGCTACAAAGGCCCACAGAAGAAGGGATTGAGTCTAGATACGAGTTAGGGAAGAGACTAGATATAGGAGAAATCGGAACTACTTATTTGTGCAAAGACAGAAATACGGGAGAGAAAGTTGCGTGCAAGTCGATTTCCAAGAATGAACTTATAAAAGCTATTGATATTGAAGGGGTTAGAAGAGAGGTTGCTATCTTGAGTCATTTGCCTAAACACCCTAACATCATTACGTTGAAGGATACGTATGAAGACGACGATTACGTTCATCTTGTTACAGAACACTGTGAAGGTGGTGTGCTTTTTGATCGAATCGTTGCTAGAGGACATTACAGAGAACGCTCCGCAGCTTCTATCATTAAAACCATCGTCCAAGTTGTTCAGGTCATCATCATCATTCTTAGAAACTCTTAATTCTCTCTTTTTCTTTTCAATTTTTTAACTATACTTACTAATTATGTTTGGTTATATGATTTTCATTTTTTTTTGTTTTGTGTTTTAGATGTGCCACAAACATGGTGTGATGCATAGGAATCTCAAACCTGAAAACATTTTGTTTGCAAATAACATGGAAACAGCGCCCTTAAAAGTTACTGACTTTGATTTGTCAATATTCTTTAAACCAGGTAATGCTTTTTGCTACAAGTTTGATCTTCATAGTTCGGTCCTGCCATCCAAGTACATTTAACTGAAGTTTGTTATTCTCTGCAGGTGAAAGATTTCATGAGATAGTTGGTAATCTATATTACATGGCCCCTGAATTGTTAATGAAAAATTATGGTCCTGAAGTTGATATATGGAGTGTTGGAGTAATTCTTTACATCTTACTTTGTGGTGTCCCCCCGTTTTGGGCAGGTTGGTTTTTGTCTTTTCAATGCTGTTTTCGACTGTTGTGAATAAGAAAACTTAAATAGCTCAAAATACACATGTAGGTCACTTGTATTCAAAAAATAATTTACTGATCTTTCTTATGTGGATGAAGATGGTATTTTTGTACTTAAAATGCAGAAACTGAGCAGGGAGTTTCTCAAGCAATTATACTGTCGGTTATTGACTTTAAAAGAGATCCATGGCCAATGGTTTCTGATAATGCAAAAGACCTTGTTAAGAAGATGCTTGATCCTGATTCTAAGCGCCGGCTTACTGCACAGGAAGTGTTAGGTAATATGCAGTTCATATAATTGAATGCTTAGGTAGGTAATGTAAAACAGAATTGTATGAAATATTTTCTGCTAAGCTGATGAACATTTTTGTCTACCAAAAAGTTGAAATATTGAAATGTGGGAATGTTAACATTGCCTGTTAACTTAATGCAGATCATCCATGGTTGCAGAATGGTAAGACAGCTTCTAATGTTTCTTTACGAGAAACCGTCAATGTACGGCTCATGCAATATTCTGCAATGAACAAACTTAAGACAACAGCATTGAGGGTAATGTTTCATTAATGTTTAGATTTGAATTTAGATTGTTAAATTGTAATTCATAGGTGTCAAAAGAAGATTTGATTTGTTTAGATTTAAATAGTTTTGAATTTAAATCTAGATTAGATTTGATTTAGTAAAGAGATATTTTGGGCTTGGGTTTAGCTTAGAGAGCAAGCTAACCTAAATCTATAAATAGAGGGAGTAACCCCTATTTTGTATTCAAGTCATTGAAGTCATTCACAGTATTTTGCAGTTGCAAAGTGAATTAATAAAGATTCCACAGTTTGTGGGCAGAATAGAAATTCTGCAGAAATATCTCCATTGTTCTTTTATTTGTTTGTCATAACTAATCATCAGTGGTGGTCGAAATTCATCATTGAGTATTGGTGGATTTCCAACATCTGGTATCAAGAGCTTGTGTTACGATTCAAGGGAAGTATCAATCAAGAACGATTGAAGAATTCACGATGACAAGTTATGGGAATGCAAACTATCCAGCAACGCTGCCAATTCTGAAAGTTGACAACTATGAGAATTGGTGCAAGCAGATGAAAGTCCTATTAAGGTGTCAAGGCCTTTGGGACCTTGTAAAAGATGGAGTCGAAGCGCTTGGCGAAAACGCTTCAGAAGAAGAAAAGAAGAAATACACAAAATCTGAGAAACAGAGTTATAAAGCATTGTTTATAATTCATCAATGTGTCAGTCCAGACAATTTCGAGAAGATTGGTGATTCAGAATCTACAAAAGAAGCTTGGGAGATCCTAGAGAAATCTTTTGGAGGCGCTGAGAAGGTGAAAGAAGTGAGGTTACAAACTCACAAAAGGACCTATGAACTGCTTCAGATGGAAGACAGTGAAAACATATCTGATTTCTTCACTAGAGTTATAAAACTAGTGAATCAAATCAAGACATGTGGAGAAGCATTAACAACAAGAGCTGTTGTTTCGAAGATCTTGAGATCCTTAGCTCCTAAGTTCGACCACATAGTGGTGGCGATCGAAGAAGGGAAAGACTTGTCAAAATTGACAAAGGAAGAGCTTCAAGGGACGCTCGAATCTCATGAACAAAGAATGAACGAAAGAGCTGCAGGAAAATCGAAGAGTGATGTAGCCTTGCAGGCACATTCAGCAAAAGAGACCAAAGGCAAAGGAAAGTATTTCGACAGAAGTAGATGTGGCTACAACAAATCGAATGGAAGAGGAAACCAAATCGAAGGAGACGTGTCGAATCAAAGAAGACTACACCAAGGCAACCAAAGAGGTGGTGCTGCAAACAGAGGAAGAGGTGGTGGTCGAAAACCTGATAAGAGTCACATTCAATGTTATAATTGTCAGAAGTATGGTCACTATTCGAGTGATTGTCCAGAAAAACGAAAGAATCAAGAAAGTGATGCAAAGCTGGCAAAACATGAAGAAGAAGAAGAGATGATGCTGATGGTCACAACAAGAGATGAAGATAGATTCAAGGACCAATGGTACTTGGATTCAGGATGTTCATCACATATGTCTGGAAGGAAATACTGGTTCGTCAACATAAAACCCTCAATGAAAAATTTGGTAAAATTTGCGAATGACAACACCCTAGCAGCTAAAGGTATTGGTGATGTTATGATCATGAGGAAAGATGGCAAGAAGTCAGTAATTTCGAATGTATTGTACATACCAGGCATGAAGAGCAATTTGCTCAGTATAGGGCAGTTGGTCGAAAAGAATTATAAAGTATCAATCGAAGATAAGTTGATGAGAGTTGTTGATGCAAATGGGAGAGTAATCTTGAAGGCTCCTATGTCTCAGAATCGAACCTTCAAGATTGAACTAAATGTGATGGAGCACAAGTGCCTTTCGACTGCAGCTAGCAGAGATGAATGGATATGGCATTATAGACTTGGTCATCTCAACTTCAGAGACATCAGAGATTTGAAGAGAAGAAATATGGTTTCAGGATTGCCTGAAATTGACATTCCAAACGAAGTATGTGAAGAATGTGTGCAGGCGAAGCAACACAAGAACAGCTTCAGCAAGGATGCAGGAAGCAGATCGAAGGCTAATCTCGAAGTCATATACTCTGATGTATGTGGACCAATTCAGGTGGATTCGATGGGAGGTAACAAATACTTTGTTACATTCACAGATGATTTCAGTCGAAAGCTATGGACTTACCTGATCAAGAAGAAAAGTGAAGTGTTCGAAGTATTTATCAAGTTCAAGTCCATGGTCGAAAGACAAAGTGGTCGAAAGCTCAAAGTTTTGAGAACTGATGGTGGAGGAGAATATGTGTCGAAAGATTTCGACAAATTATGTGAAAAAGAAGGGATTGTACATGAGGTGGTGCCACCCTATACTCCACAGCAAAATGGAATTGCAGAAAGGAAAAATCGAACCATAATGAACATGGTGAGAAGTATGTTGAAAGGCAAGAATTTACCCAAAGAATTCTGGGGAGAAGTTGTTTCGACTGCAACATACATTTTGAACAGAAGTCCTACAAAGAAGCTAGAAGGAATTACTCCAGAAGAATGTTGGTCTGGTGTGAAGCCTAGCTTAAGTCATCTGAAAGTATTTGGATCTATTGCACATAGACATGTGCCATATCAGTTGAGAAAGAAACTTGATGACAAGTCAAGTCAAATGATCTTAGTTGGATATCATTCGACAGGAGGCTACAAATTGTTCGATCCAGAGAACAAGAAGATTGTGATCAGCAGGGACGTGATCATAGATGAGTTCAAAGAATGGGATTGGACTACAAATGTCAAGAAAGATTCAGTGGGAATCTTATTCGAAGAGCCAGAAACTCAAGTCGAAAGAGAAGTTCGACAAGAGGAGCCAGCAAATACACCCAGTACAAGCAGACCTCAAAGAACAAGACGCATGCCTGCAAGATTGCAAGATTGTGTGATTACATCAGATGATGTAATAGATGATGAAGGTGAGCTGGTACATTATGCTTTCTATGCAGATGTCGAACCTGTTAATGCAGCTGAAGCATTAAAGGATTCGAAGTGGGTGAAAGCAATGAAAGAAGAAGTAAAGTCTATCGAAGACAACAACACTTGGTCACTTGTTGAATTGCCTCAAGGCAAGAAGGCAATTAATGTCAAGTGGGTATACAAAGTGAAGACTAATTCGAAAGGTGAAGTAACTCGACACAAAGCAAGACTTGTGGCGAAAGGATTTCTACAGAAAGAAGGAATAGACTTCGACGAAGTTTTTGCACCTGTTGCTAGGATCGAAACAATCAGGTTGGTTGTTGGTCTAGCAGAAATCAACAGTTGGCACATATGTCAGATGGACGTGAAGTGTGCATTCCTAAATGGACCCTTAGATGAAGAAGTTTATGTTAAACAACCAGTTGGGTTTGTGAAACATGACGAAGAAAGAAAGGTGTACAGGCTACATAAAGCCCTGTATGGTTTGAAACAAGCTCCAAGGGCTTGGAATAAGAAAATTGATAGTTTTCTAAGGGAGAAGGAATTTGTGAAGTGCATAACTGAACATGGAGTATATGTAAGAAGAAGCAAGAGTAAATTGCTTATACTATGTCTCTATGTAGATGATTTGTTGATAACAGGTAGCTGCAAGAGTGAGATCGAAGACTTCAAAGTTGATCTTAGCAAGGAATTCGAAATGTCTGATTTGGGTGAGATTTCATATTTCCTTGGTATCGAATTCTACAAAAGCAGTAGAGGTTTGATGATGCATCAAAGAAGATATGCAGGGGAAATTCTCAAGAGGTTTGAGATGGAAGAATGCAACTCAACTTCGACACCTGCAGAACCAAGACTGCAACTGTCGAAAGATGCAGATGAAGATGATGTTGATCCAACCCAATACAGAAGACTTATTGGATCATTGAGATACCTTTGTCATACAAGGCCTGACTTAGCATACAGCGTAGGTATGGTAAGTAGATTCATGCAGAAGCCAAAGGTATCACATCTAGCAGCTGTGAAGAGGATACTAAGGTATCTTAAAGGAACTTTCGATTATGGCATTATGTTTCCTGCAGTTGATAAAGGAAAAGAATGCAAGTTAGTGGGATACACTGATTCGAGTTGGTGTAGTGATGCTGAAGATCGAAAGTCAACAGCAGGATATGTATTTATGCTAGGTGGTGCAACAATTGCTTGGAGTTCGAGAAAAGAACCAGTAGTAGCATTATCATCATGCGAAGCAGAATACATAGCTGCTTCTCTTTGTGCATGTCAAGCAACCTGGATGGTGAACTTGGTCGAAGAGATAACAGGGAAAAATCATTGAGCAATTACCATGAAGATAGACAGCATGTCAGCTATCAATCTGGCGAAGAACCCAATAGCACATGGTCGAAGTAAGCACATCGAAATGAGGTTCCATTATCTTCGAGAGCAGGTAGCAAATGGGAAGATGAATTTGGAACACTGCAGAACTGAGAATTAGATTGCAGACATCATGACGAAGGGAGTGCAGGTCGAAGTATTCAGAAAGCTAAGGGCCATGATGAACATAGACAGTTTAGACACAATGAATTAGGTGGTGTGTTAAATTATAATTCATAGGTGTCAAAAGAAGATTTGATTTGTTTAGATTTGAATTTAGATTGTTAAATTGTAATTCATAGGTGTCAAAAGAAGATTTGATTTGTTTAGATTTAAATAGATTTGAATTTAAATCTAGATTAGATTTGATTTAGTAAAGAGATATTTTGGGTTAAGCTTAGAGAGCAAGCTAACCTAAATCTATAAATAGAGGGAGTAACCCCTATTTTGTATTCAAGTCATTGAAGTCATTCACAGTATTTTGCAGTTGCAAAGTGAATTAATAAAGATTCCACAGTTTGTGGGCAGAATAGAAATTCTGCAGAAATATCTCCATTGTTCTTTTATTTGTTTGTCATAACTAATCATCAGTGGTGGTCGAAATTCATCATTGAGTATTGGTGGATTTACAACAATTAATACTTTAATATCTCATGGGAAATGATCTCTAAAATATTTTTCTAAACTTTAAGAAAACAGCATTAATTTTGTTATATTGGACTTTCGTGCGAGCAGGTGATTGCAGATCATTTGTCTGTAGAAGAAGTTGCTGGAATTAAAGAGGGATTCCATGTGATGGACACATAAAATAATGGCAAAATTAACATTGACAAACTTCGAGTGGGGTTGATTAAGCTAGGCCACCAAATTCCTGATGCAGATGTCCAAATACTTATGGAAGCTGTGAGTGTTTTCTTTAATTGTATGTTTATAGCCTAAGCACTTATCATGTAAAGTGCTTATGAAAAGTACTATATGAAGGTGTACTACATATCCTTTAAGAGGCGTCTCTTCAACTTATAATATTTGGGAGCTGCTTTTACAGGGTGATGTAGACAAAGATGGGTACCTAGATTATGGGGAGTTTGTAGCCATTTCTATTCATCTGAGAAGGATATCCCATGATGAACACCTACACAGAGCATTCCAATTTTTCGACAAAAATGAATCTGGGTATATTGAACTTGAGGAGTTACGTAATGCTTTAGCCGACGAGATTGACAAAAACAGTGAAGAAATCATTAATGCAATTATGCATGATGTGGACACAGACAAGGTCAGAACTTTCAATAAATTCTTGTTTATGCCTTATTTCCCACTTGGTAACATTCTGCATCTTTGAAACACCCTTTCTACTGGTGTTTTATGGAAAGTATACGAATTATTCTCGATCAAAATTGTAACTTAAAAAGAAACTTTCTCGTACGTAGTTGTTTCATTTGTCTATATTAGGAAATTGGAACCAATCTGATATATTTCTTGGTGAAATTGTAGGATGGAAAAATAAGTTATAAGGAATTTGCTGCAATGATGAAGGCTAGAACTGATTGGAGAAAAGCATCAAGGCAGTATTCACGAGAGATGTTTAACAGTATAAATTGAGCAATGACAATGAGGCTAGATGACTTTAAAAAATGGCTAATTTTAGCCCTTGAATGGCAAATGTTATAAAGAAGTCATCATCATTTTTCTATTTTCATTCATTACAATTCTTTTATATCTTATAATTCTGAATTGATATTGAGACCCCCCCGTCCCCCAATTTTTGGGTGTTGATATAGGATATAGGTTGGAGTGTATGTTTGGGTAGCTGTTGTTGGAGCCCCAAACTCAGTTTGTTGTATAGAAGCAACGACACACATTCTTTTTGGTGCCATTTGAGCAGTGATATATGTTTGATTTGCAGTTTTATTCCACTCTTTTGGTTTGTTAAGGTTATCATTTGAGAAAATGCAAGGATGGGAGGATTGGACAAGTCTTCAAATTCTGTTGCTATAAATATTTCAAATATTCACCGGGTACAATGACTAATCATTTGACACTTTTAGCCTAATGTTTATATTTTTCTTGTGTAAAATGCACACCTGTAGATAGGCATGGCATTTTTAGCCATATGAAATGAATCACAAATTAAGTCACTTTTGGAATACATAATGTAGATTGTACTGCAATTATCAATGAAACTTATGTAAGATATTGGTCACTAATAATAACCTAGGGTGTTTTATCAGCTTTTGCGAACAAAGTTTTTATATTTTTTAGTATTCAATTATAGTTATTAATAACTTTAAGATTTGTGATTTGTTAGTTTGGCATATGCTGCCCAAAGGTAGAACTATGAAAAAAGAGACTCCCTTTTTTAGAGATTTTCCTAATTCATCCATGAGTCCTTTTAGGGACCTCCGTGAGTTCTTTTTCATTGATTTTAAGGGAGCTCATTGGTTCATCTAATATTAACTCATACAAATGTTGTCTACACAACACAGAGCCGTTTTATGTTTTTGGAGATTCTGTGTAGGCTAGCAATAATTTAACCATGAAAAAATAAATAGAGGTCCTATTTAATTACGATTTAACTCGACAAATATTTGAGGGTTTCTTTATGTACCCTTATGTCTTCTTAGAGGTCCTTGGGGAAATTCCCGTAATACCCTCAGATTTCAGATATTAATATCTGAACTCACTATATTCAATTTTTTTACGAAATAGTTTTGGATATGCATAATCGAAGAAACCACGCTTAATTTCGGATATGCAAATCTGAAATATGCAGAAGCAGTGAATGAATCAAAACTCTTGAAAACAAACCAACTTAACATAGATTTAACATAAATAATTAAAATTACATAGATAGTTGAACATAAATTTAATATTATATATTGTTATAAACGGGTAGCGGAGACGTCGCAACATTTTGATAACATCTTCTCCCGATCTTTGAAACTTCGCATCCACTTCAATCGGATCCTTAGTAGAATATCACTGAAAAGTACTACACACAACCTTTAAATCGTCATCCGTCTTCAGCTCAAACTTGATGAACTTTATCTTACCTTCAATGTCAAGTGAGGGTGAACGATAGTCGACCTTGACCACCTTTCAATTTTTCGTATATTGCAAGAGAGAATTCAGTGTGGTAATGAAGCTGACAAAAGGCGTGTCCTCGAAGAAGAATTTAATATATCCGTCCATGCATCTATTATCTTTTCCACCACCAAACTAGATTTGACCATGTCTTCATCTTCACCCTTGATTTCTTTGTTGCCGACCTCGAGTTTTAACTTAACTCTCACATTTTTATTATGTGATACCGACAAAGTAATGCATATGAAGTAGGAAAGACACTTCCAACCGCATTCATAAGGGCATTATCTCGGTCGGTTACAATGATACTATGCATATTTTTTGGATCCTTCAATAAAGAGTTGCATATATCCAACGCCTATGTTACATTGTCTTCTTTCTCAGATTCCAGCAATGCAAATCCAACCGAAAATGTCTTTTCCGTAAAAGTGACACCAACAATTTCTAGAAGTGAAAGCCTATATTTGTTGGTCTTGTACGTTGAATCAATTATAAGGACATTTCAAAATGTGTTGAACAACTTGATACTTTCTGGATGAGTCCAAAATATGTCACAAACACTGACTTTATCCTCACAGACTCGGTACCTTGAAACATAGTGGTTATTGTCCAAAATTTTAAAAGTTGTTGAATTTCGGATCTCGAACCTCTACTCACCATATTTTGTTGATAATGTTCATTGTATATCTTCTTGATATTTGAAATACTTTGTGGTCTTTTTCGTTTCAAATTGACAAGTATGTTTCTCAGTGCAACTTTGATCATCGACATTTTTGAAAGAATTTCCTTCTCCTCTGGCTTAAGCCGACATACAATTGAATGACCTTATAGCTTCGTGTCCAACGCATGAGTATGTAAACTATATATGACATTAAACCTCCACAAATCATCCATCCTACAGTATCCGTGCAATTTAAATGGACGCTCACATTTTCTCGATCTGGCGTCTTCATGTTTTAAGTTTCGAATTTTTGGAAAATATTTTTCACTTCTCTCGCATGTCATCGTTACAAATACCTTCCTTCTACTAGTGCCATTGTGGGACCTTTTAATCACAACACCAAACTCGAGTTTACTAGCTTAAATTCGTACCCACTCTAGCATATGTTGACGAGCACTGAAAATTTGATCATTTGTAAATTTGAAAATTTTTCAAACATCTACTGCGACAATAATCATTTTGACATCGTTCTTCATCTCTTCCGACTTAGCATCCCCATTCACCTTGATTATATCATTTACAACAACTTTGAGAAACATGTCAGGGTGCACCATAACTAAAACGGTCAAAAACATAAAATTTATTTAACACAATTTTGTTTTTTTGTAACAGACATTGTTTCGGATATGCACATCCGAAATATGTTAGGTGGGTTTCGGATATGCATATCCGAAGTGACATTGTTTTTTTAACCAAAAGTCAAAATCAATGCAAGGAAATGAGAGACAAAATGAAATTTTTTACCTTAAATTGTAGCTTTCTATGCTCTCTTTGATATGATAAAACACTTGAAACTTGATTTCGAGACGAAAAAATGATTGAGAATGGTTGAGGTTTTGAAGTAGATTTTGATTATGGGGGAAAATAAAATAAATGAAATAGTGATAGTGGTGATCATGAAGAAAATTTATGTAACAAAGGTATTTTCTGATATGCATATCCAAAAATACTACTAAATGTTTAAATCTAACGTCTAAATAATTATAACATGCAAACAAGGGATTTTCGGATATGCATATCCGAAACATTTTGAAAATGAATTTAAGGGTTTGTTCGGATATGCATATTCGAAGGGTATTTTGGGGTTTTTAGAGGTTTTTTTCACCCATATAAGGGTGTACTAAGAAATCTCTGAAATATTTTATAAGATCATATTTGCCTATAGTTTCGCCTAGAGAAACTTGAGTCCATGTGCGGTAGCCTTCCTTACACGCTCTCAAAGATGACCCTGACACAACATAAGGATCTTTGATCTTTTATAGCACATATTCTTTCTTACAATTTCAGAAGACTTCTATCAACCTACAACCTTTTCACTCAAATCTAACTCTCTGAACTTATTTTGATGAAATGCATAAAGAGGATAAATGTTTTTTTTCAAGCAATTTACAATTTTCTAAGAGTGTGTTCTGATCGGGCATTTTAAGAAGGAAATGTAATGTTTTTAAAAATTTTATTTTTAATATTTAAAATCAGAGTTGAGGATTCTTGCGTTGACACTTCATCATCTATATTATCTAAACTTTACCATGTCAAATATATTTTTGTGTGACACTTTCTAAAATTCACCCTCACTTTTCAAAAAAGCAATTATTGTTTATTAGATATCATTGGTTCAAACTCTAATAAATACAAAAATATACAATTTATTCGATAAAGTCAAATTATCTAAGTCAATATATCATAAATTTTAATAAGTAATTAAGTACCTACAAAAACTTTATGTTAGATGAACATATAAAGTTAGACAAAAAAACAAATAATGAAGTTGATAGATTTACACTAAATAATAAAACTATGTGAGTATTAAATAATTTTTTAAAAAAATATTACATACAAAATTAGTAGAAGAATTAGTCTAAAAATTATGATTTATCACTTCACAAAATTCACTTGCAAGACATATTCACTAAAGATTAAAAAAAGGATTATAAGATAAAAGATTGTCTTTTAATAAGGTAATTCACATCATTTTAACAAAATTTAATAATATAACGTATGATTTTTAACCTGTAAAATTAAAAATGAACTCATCGAAATGAAATAATCATCTTAGTATATAAATTTTTATTATAAATTAAATCAGATGCTCAAATTATTTCGCCAACATATCATGGTCCATATCATAAATTTGTAACGTTAAATATATTTCTACGTGGCACCACTCAAAATATATCTTCAATCCATTATTTTATTATTATTTTATGGAGTATGTTTTGTAGGTCATATTCATATAATCTAGTGGTAAAAAATCTTCTGTAAAGGATGATATTTGGAGAATACTGAATTCGATTCCTGGCAAGAATAATATTTGGTCAGTGTTCATACCTCAGTTCACGAGCTCTAAATTAATAAGGTCATTTCCCCTATGAACTAGGGTGCGAAAACAAAAAAATAAAATAAACTACTATAATATTATTAAATTTAAGTTGCATACTATTTTTACTAGCTCTAAATAAAATAAAACTCTACTTACAAGCTCAAGAAGTGGAAGCACGTACACAGTGAATTTAAATAAGATTCTTTCAAGTGATGTATGTCTCTTAAGTAATGAGGGTGAATCTTGATTATGACATAAGAGAAAGCTCACGTCGACATGAACCACTTGAACAAGTTGGTCTACAAAGATCTTGTAAACGGTATCCCAGACTTAACATTTTGAAAATAACCGATTATGTGATGTGTGTAAAAAAGGAAGCAAACAAATGCCTCTTTTAATCTAAAAATATAGTTTCTATAGCTCATCCCTTGCAACTATTTCACATAGACTTTTTTGGTCTATCTAGAACCGTAAGTC